ACACATACACACACCATCCACACCACACACCACACACCACACACCACACACACCACACACACCACACACCACACACACACCACACACACACACACACACACACACACACACACACACACTGAGGCAGGGCAATATGATGACTTTTTGAAGGAAGCTCTTGGTCTCCTAAAGCAATCTGTGTGCTATTGAGTCAGCCTGGCTTCCTGTGCCCAGCTGACCACTGCCCCCTAGGGACAGCTCATGGGCAAACAACACTTCTCGTAGAAAGGGAAAAGCATTGACTTACGTATCAAGCTCTCTATTCCTTCCAATAACCACCAGTTTGAAGGAAACTTAGGAATGACAATGCATTTAAAGGACTATTATCTTGAAATAGGGAGTTATGTAACTATATTTCTGGACTATTTTCTACTCTTTAAAAATCCTCTTCCTTGGCTAGAAATAAGGCTCAGCAGTAAAATCCTTGCCTATCACATGTGAGACTCTGGGTTCAATCCCCAGCACCCACCAAAATAGAAAATTTTTGGAAAAAAATAAAGTCCTCTGCTGTACAATGGGTTATGACGAGTGGTTAACTTTCAGAAAGACACTGCAGGAGTTGGACAAAGACGTTCCAAGCATTAGTGTAAGAGATGGAAGCATTCACTAAGTGCCTAGGGTTCCGAAGACATATGGGACAGACACTCTAGGTGAAAAAAGTAATGAACACCAGAAGATGTCTCAGGGGATTTCTGTACTTCTCAGGCTTTGATCCTTGCACTAGCTCTTCGAGTTACACAATAAGGTCCTCATTTTTACAAAAGAAGAAACTGAGGCGGCCACTGCAAGTTAAGATCCTGATTGAAGTACCCAGCCAAGACATAAAATACAGGATATTACTGTTTAAAGAAAAAACAGTGAGCTTGTTGGTACCCTGTAATCCTAGCACTCAGAAGTCTAAGACAGGAGGATTGTGAGTTCCAGGCCAGCCTGGAACATAGGGAGACCCTGGAGAGAAAGAAGGTAAAAAAGGAGAGAGAGAGGCAATCGGATCTGGATAAGATCAAGGCCAGCCTGGTACATAGCGAGTTCTAGGCTAGCTGGAGCTACTAAGGAAACCCTATCTCATGTAAACAAAAACAAAAATCGAGACAAAGACAGAGACACACAGAGGGGAGGAGGGAAGGGAGAGAAGGAGGGAGGGAAGGAGAGGGAGGGTGGAAGGGAGGGAGGGAGGGAGGGAAGGAGAGAAGGAGAGAAGGAGGGAGGGAGGGGCAGACTGACTTCAGGTAGTCTCTGTAGGTCTCTTAGAATGTTTGCTGAGTAGGAATGGCCATGCCCACCTGAGATGTTTCCCTAGCATGTTGCCACAACCCAACACTGCAAATACCAAGTCCCAAGTCCCAGCCACCCACTCTTTCTCCCTTTCCCAACCTCACTGTCAGCATCTTTCGTTCTGGCCACCATCAGCATGTAAACAACCAAAGGCACAATCTGAGCAATGACAGAACCAGGATCTGTTACGGCCAGACCCTGACAGGGAGGTCATAAAGCTGTCAGGAAGTCCATAGAAGGCAACCGATGACAGGGCTTCTTCCCTTCTACCCCAAGGAAAACATTTACAGTGTATGCTCTAAACATCTGTCTTTAGCAGTGTGAACAGTGTGCATTGGGAATAGCCGTAAGAGGAGTAGCCTACTTGCCTTGATTTTTCCCAAGTCTCTTGCATTTCGTATTTGTGGAAAGCAAGAGTATGTGAAGAAACAGTAAGAAAATTATTATAGATACTAATTTATTGAGTGTGTTGTACTGTTTACAGAAACTTTACTTAGGCACAAAATACTCCTGGCACCCTATCAGTGAAGTGCTGGGCATTACCTAGCAGCCTGCCACAACTTTAACCCTGGGGTAACATCTGCTTTTCTAGGGGTGTTACTAGCTACTACTGAGAAGGTTCTCTTCTCTTCTACACCATGAGCTCCGACATGCTGGTAATTATTATTGAGCCTTATTCTACAGAAGAGGAAATGGGACAGGGTGATTGACTTCTCAAGGTCAGGTGGGAGGAACGAGGACTTAGACCCAGCTCTGGCTACCTGTAACTGAGACACCTTAATGACCACCTTTCTCTTTACCCATCTCTGGGAGGTAAAGCGTACCAATAGTACAAAACTTAGAAAGGAAGTCCCCATTCTGGACTCCAAAGTCTGGCAGCCAGTGCTACTCTTGAGAAGTGCTGTTTTCCAGAGCTATCCCAGATTTTTTGCCTATTAACTTTAAATATCGTCAGTTTTGGAGTGCTCTAATTAATTAGATCTCAATAATTTTCCTTTTAATACAAGAAGTTTTGTGTCAAAAAAAGCTATGAATTGAACTTATGTCATACTAGTTATTGCCCCCACTAGTGAATTTTGGCAATTTTTAAGACTTCTGTATATGAAATAAGTTAAAGCAATATGGTGTAAAGCACAACTTCCTTTATGTGATTCATCTATTCTGAAAGTTATGAAAAATTAGTTTAGGGTATTTGTTTTATTTATTTCATGGTGAAGTATTTCACACTCAAATTAAAAAATTAAATATACTACTTACAGCTTTATAAAGTTATAACCCAAATTTTCTTCAGCTACATCTGAAAAAGAAATGAAATAGCCGTGGTGGAACACACCTTTGATCCCAGCACTCGGGAGGCGGAGGCAGGCAGATCTCTATGAGTTCAGGGCCAGCCTGGTCTACATAGTGAGTTCCAGGCCAGCTGGGGCTACAGGGAGACCCTGTCTCAAAAAGATTTTTTTTTTAATCACTGATTCACAGAATAGTAACCACATTCCTCTATCACATCTCTTTCCTTCTGGAGAGGAATCATGGTCATGAATTCAGTGTATACCAGATCCATGCATTTCAAAGCGTTTGCTGCCAAAAATAGAATTTTCAGACCACCTAGACTGAAACTGTTGAGCAGCAGTGTCATGGAAGTATTGAGGAAGTGAAAAGTTGCAAGGCTGTATTGGAGTAACTTCCCGAGCAAGGCACACACCACATTTCATAGAACCAGTACTAAAAAAACACAAGAAATATGTTCTACACTGATTGTTTGTTGAAGTGATGATGTATTAGCTATACCAAATTAAACAAAATATATTGCTAAAATCAATTTCTCCTGTTTTTTAAAGCTAGAACATTTTACATTATATATGATTAACATATTTTGACTAGAGGGTGCTGGTCTAGTAGCACTTAAAATAGCGTCTGATAAAAAGAAACCTCTCCTCATAGAAATTTTGCCTGAATGGGGAATGTTTACATTTCTACTCCTTTTTTAAAAACTCTGTCATGCCGGGTGTGGTGGCGCATACCTTTAATCCCAGCACTCGGGAGGCAGAGGCAGGCGGATCTCTGTGAGTTCAAGGCCAGCCTGGTCTACACAGTGGTTTCCAGGACAGCGGGGGGTACAGGGAGCCTCTGTCTCAAAAAGACCAAAAAAAAAAAAAAAAACCTCTGTCATGAGCCTTTTACCACCTCGTTAAAAGTTATAACAATCTTCTTAAAATAATTTTGATCTTTCTGGGTTTTTTTTTTTTTTTTTGGTAGGGTTTTATATTCCAGGCTGGTCTCAAGCTTTATATAAAGCTGAAAAAGACCTTGAATTTCTGATCCTCCGGCCTCCACCTCCAAGGGCGTAGGTCACAGATGTGCATCACTGCCCAGTTTTCAAAAATGTGTGAAATAATAGTCACGGAATTTTAAAGGAGACTCATCATTTCGAAGCAGTAGGGCATGGTGGCACAGGCCTGTAATATCACTCCTTTTGTGGGAGCTGGGCCGGTTTGCCGAGTGTAATCCGGCAGAAACAATCTGCACCATCTAAGGACGCCTTTGCCTCCTTCTCTTCCAGATGTTCACCTCCACGTTGTTTGCTGTGATTGGATTCGTGGGTGCTGGATACTCATTTGTGGTCTCAGCCATTTCCATCAACAAGGGTCCTAAATGCCTCCTGGCCAATAGCACGTGGGACTACCCCTTCCACAGTGGGTAAGGCTCCACCCTACAGTGCCCACGTGTCACCACCAGGGGTATGTGTATGTTCATCCCTGAAAAGATGAGACTAAACAGAATGTCATATCCTCTCGATTATACACTCTCGACTTGCTGCTCCCTGGAGGTCTCAGAGCTGGCTCTGTGGAGTGACGTAGCACAGGCTCTCAGCTCTGATTACTCTTTTTCCCCCTAAAGATTTCCTTTTATTATTTGTAATTATGGAGGTGGGGGTGGGGTATTCTTTTTCCCCCTAAAGATTTCCTTTTATTATTTGTAATTATGGAGGTGGGGTGGGGTATGTGCACATGAGTGGAGGTGCCAGAGACATTGGATCTCCCTAGAACTGGAGTTACAGGCAGCCATGAGCTGCCCAAACTCGGTGTTGAGAACTGAATTCAGGTCCTTTGTAAGAGCAGTACATGAACTTAAGTACTGAGCCGTCTCTCCAGCCCCTCTGATGGCTCTTTTGACAAACACTAAATGTCCAAGACGGAGTGTGAGCCTTAATGTTGCCAACTCCGTTGGCCTAAGGAAGTCTGTCATGTCACCGTTCACATCCAAATATTTATTAGCAGCAACATAAGGCAAAAAGAAAACGTATTAATACATGGGTTAGTGGTGTCCAGTAACAATGCTGTAAGGGAAAATGGGAATGACTCCTCACCAGCTGGGCTCAACAGCTTTCACTAATACCAGAACTGCTTATAATGAAACAATCTTTTAAGGTACCAATTTACAGAAAACGGCATTGGGAATATTGGAGATTTTCATGACAGTTACTGTTACTAGAACCCATTAAAATAATGTTTCATACTTTGAAGTACCTTATGTTATAAACTTGTTTCCTAACAAGAGATATTTATTATCTATAGATAATAGATATTTATTGTCTCTATAGCAACCCTAAGTAGCAGTAACTCTTTTTTTTAATCTTCTTCTTTCATTTATTTTTATGGTGCTTTTGGCTACTCTAACATTCCCCC